CATCTTAAATAGAAGATCGTGCCTCAGTAGCAAAACAAAGCTAAGTGTATATCGAACCTTAATACGACCCTGCATAACTTATGCCTGCCCAGTATGGAGCAGTACGTGCCCTCTATTTAAATACTACAGGTTGTCCAAAAAAACATTGAAATATGCATTAATACTCCGTTTCGAACAAACTCCAAAAATTTCACAAAAAATTAAGTTTCCGACTATTTATCAGTTTATATTCAAATTATCAAAAAAATTCTATTTACATAAACCGAAAAAGTAAAAATAAATATATTAATAACCTTTGTAAAACGCGGATGAAAAATTTACCTTACATCGATAAATACAACAGATACAAATTACCCCATCACTTGTTTCTGAGTGCGATGAATAACTGGTTATCAGTGGCCCGCGCAGTCCGAGTGGTCCACCGCGTCGCGCGCGACCTCCGGCCTTATTATAAATATATATAGACCTGGATTACGCGTGCGTTGCGTGACTGATGCTCGCCCTAGCCTTAGCGGGTGACTGTTCCTTTGTGATTGCTTGCCGTCCTTTTTGTTCTCGAGTGCTACCCCATTTATTGTTAGAACTATATTTAGTTATTCAATTTAGGCATGTCAAAATGCAAATCTCATCTAAAGATTGCATAATTACCAGGTAGTTTACCTCATTGTTAAAAATTGTTTGTTATTGTTAAAACCTTTCGTAACATTTAACTTTAGTTTTATAAATTTTATAAGTTTTTAAAAAAGCAAAATAGCTTAAAAACGTGTCTAGTTGTAAGCTTGTTACATTCCAGGAAATAATGTACACTGGAATGTAGCACCAAAATTTGTGAAACAAAATAAAGAATTTTTGAAATTGAATTCAATCAATTAATTTAATTTATTCTCCGAAGTGTGAAAAACCCAAAAATGCGGAAATTTACACACAAACAAATTAGCATATTACGTCATGGTATAAGTTATACCTAATTAAGATTAATCCGGTTATACAAAAAACAGCAGTAACGCTACAACCCTTAGTCTTTGTCTTAGATATTCCCTGTTCTCTTTTTTCTTAATACGCAACACACACTGACTCCTTCGTAAAAGGCAAGGATTTGTCACAATGTCTACGAAGTACGAGTTACAGTTAATGTGCAAATAAAAAGAAAAGTCTCTGTGTGAAAAAGTGACTTAAACGACCTAAGGGTCAACCCTCGCACGCTTAAGCCTAAGACAAACTCAATCAAACCCCGTCGAAATTGTCGTATAGTCTAAGCCACCTAAGCCACCAAAATCCTCAAAATCCCACGCTCATTTATTTCCAACAATTTTTAATTTTTGTTACAAAGACATAAATGTCCCTGATTACGTTTGACTACACTTTACATAATATCTTTAATCGTAAAGTTTGATTGCCATTTTGAAATAATCCAACAAGCTGTGGCGCATTAATCAGAAACATCTTCGCTGACCATTAATGACGTCAATTTATATTATTTATTTACCATGAACTATTCCCGGCTTATCTCAATCAAGTTCTAGGCCACTATTGGTTCACGTATGCAATTAACGAAAACGTGTTTTTCTGGTCTCGCAAAATATTGTTTAACTTTACCTGTACCGAATTATTTCAAAACGTTGCGATTTAACAAGACGGTAGTTACCTTGTAAATTAAGAAATGTTTAAGCTAGCTTTTACAAAAAAAAGGATATTAGAACTCAACAATTATGATAGATACCTACTAATAACAAATACTCTTACATAAGACTGGTGCGACAGCCAAAAGCAGCGAAATCTTCTGTTACTGAATACACTAGACACCGTTATCTAACGAGAATGTGTGATAATAAAAAAAAACACTCAGGCGCAAATTGACAATGACATCATGACTTAGCTACAAATTTGATATAACTAACCTAACCTAACTATCAACTTGAAAATGCGAATGAATGAAAATGAAAACTTACCTGCGACACCTGGTAAGTCATCGTTATTTTCCAGGCTATTTTCGATATCTGCCATCCTGGTGAATTCCGAGCAATGCACAAATGTTTCATCCATGAGATATATGTATTTAAAAGTCACTCACTGAAATACTAACAGTAAATAGAATTGTTTAAACTTAACACTAATAACAATACTGTTTTGTTTTGGGGACAATGAAGTAAACGTCACATGTGAATAATTTATATGTCAAATGAAAATTTCCAGTGCCGACGATTTAAAGTTTGTGGTTTCCCGCCAACTCTTTTTTCATAACGCACGTCTTTATTGCACGGGCTACAGTTTTATACTGTTCTATTTTTGTATGACAAAATGAAAAAGATTTTGTTCACGCGTTTGTTTACATTTGTGGCGAACTGTTTATATTTTTACAAGTTAATTTCGGGATACTAATTTTATGAATTGCTAATTAATTTTTGTGCAAATTTGGAATAGGTACCTACTGTAGAACTGATGAAAATTAAAGTGAATGAAACACCTTAGGGATTTTGGTACTATATTTGATGTTTTTTTTATGTAAAAGACACAAGAAGAATTTTTTTACACAAAAATTTAATTTATATTTAAATGAACAGTGTTATAATATTTTCACATGATGCAATGCAACTCTGCGCTCTGTAGCTCTAAATTAAATTGTCCAGTTTTAAATCGATCTCGGGGCGAAACAAACTGTCAAAGGTACACTTCCACACTCGCCGTGGACTTTTGTTAAGAGGCCTTAATTCCAACATCCACGCTGTCCACTAACCAGCTCATTCTTACCGAGACTCAGATATAATCCCCGGCTGATACTTCCCACCTCTCTTACCCGGGGTACAAAAATTGTGAGTTTGCGTGTACGTTTCCTGACGTCGTTCGACTGTTCTCGTCGCCTCGAGACGCTTGAATAAAACGGACCTGTCTAAGCTGCGATAGCCATCGGCGATTTTACGCGTGCCTGTATTGGTCCCATAGCGGAAACGCTGGAACTCGCCGACTGATCCAAACAGCTACAGATTCCCTGCTTGAAAGGGTTCCGATCTTTGAAATCGTGATACTTCGCCCACGAGCAGCCAACGCGCTTGCGAGCCTTCTAGAAATTTGAGTCTCATAGGTGGCGGTATGACTTAACATCAAGTGAACTTGCTGCTGATTTGCCCCCTGTTCTATAAAAAAAAAAAAAGGGTGCGTGTACTTATGTACGCGCGTAAGAAGTTATACTTCTTTGGCATTATCAAAAATAGATTTTGATTGCATGCAAATAATTAATTACAATTAAATAATCAAAGACTGGAAAAGGAGTCATTATAGTCAATAAAGTTCAGTTTACATTTGAAAAATTAAATAAATAAATATTTATTATTATTCTCTTACATTAAGTGTAACATAAATTCTATGATTATTCGAATGTTGTTTTTAAATAATTATGTCCAATGCCGTAGCAGCTTCCGTGGGCAACTTCATGCTGTTAATTTTGTGTCACGGTGCGCGCGCATCGTAAAATTTCACTCTCATCAATTTTTCATAACGCGTCTAAAGAAGTATAACTTCAAAAAAGTTTTTAATCATATCCATAGCTATATAAAATCTTAAGATATTATATACATATAAATTACGTGTAACGTTGTTTGTCCGCTGTGGACTCCGCTGGAAACTGAACCGATTTCAATCTAATTTACACACCTTGTGCGGTTTGATCTAACTTAAAAGATAGGATAGCTTACATCTCAATTTATACCTGCAATATTATTTTATTGTAAATTATTTGTTAATTATTCGATAGTCACAATTCTAACAGATGGCGCTGGGTTGAAAGTACCAACGTTTTTTTTTTCCTTTATGGCTCTGGCACGGCTGCATTAGCCAGCGTCAAGTATAAGATTTTTATAATTCGCACTTGTAATTGTGCCATCCTCGGCCTACACCGTCTCCTTTATATTCCGTCTCCTTTCTTAGGTAGCATACTCACTGCTTGCCTTAGAAATTCGACCGTACCGCACCACCCTCCCAAAGGCCGAGAACAAATTTTAAATTAAATTAAAACTTGCCCTCGAACCGGGAATCGAACCCGGTACCCCTCACCTAGCTGCCACTTAATAAGACCGCTAGGCTATGAGGCCCCAAGTACCAAAGTTTCACATAAGCTACAATTTAATGACATTACCACCAAAAAAGCATGGTGGTCCCCATGACTGGTGTTCTCCTACCGTTTCCCTTGAATTGTTTACTACTATGTAATATAACAAAAATCTTAGCCACAGCAACGCTTGGCCGGTCTGCTAGTACTAATATAAATTTCAGTAACGTCAAATCCAAAAGTCTTAAAACTGTCACGGACCACTTTATTTCTGGTTTGACAAATAGATTAAAATGACGTTTGATACATAATCAAATCTGTCGACTGTCACTATTCAGTAGTCAGTCTAGGGAGACATTCTGCATAAAAAATCGATTTTTATTAATCGATTATTTTTGTGGCATGAATATCGATTAATAAATAATCGTTTTCTTAAAAAATAATCGTTTTTTTATTAATCGTTTTTCCTAATTTTTGAATTATTTCAAAATAAACACCCTAAATATTTTATTTTTCAGTAGTTTTTAAATTAAAAGTAAACAGTGAAATTATAAACACAAATTAACGTTTAAGAATAATCAAAATCGAAATTAACTGTAACTTGTTTTTTAGTTTTGATAAATTGAGTTTTTCAGTTGTTTTGTTGTCTTTTTAATTATATGTAGTCTTGTGCTGCTGAATAAAATTTATTTATACTTTTAAATTGTAGTGTTCCATTTAAACCTTAGTTTTTAAAATTAACTGCTTTTTTCTTTATGTTTTACAAAAAAATCAATATTCGAGTATGCTTCAATACATCTTCAAGATATTTATTGTAAACAGCGTTTTTTTCGTTATAAGGACGTTGTACAATGTCGAGGACTTTAAATGTTTGACTGTTTTCAATACTAATAATCATTATTATAGCAGTTTTAATATCGATTATTTTTCACTCCCAGTACGTGCGGTATATAATGCAATGAAAAGTAGTTTACACCGCTTGGAAGGGACTTCAGGTGATGCTCCTGGTGGGTTAATTATTAGAAAGAAAGAAAAACCAGAAGAGTTTCAGTTTGCTATGCCCTCTCTCCTTGGTTTAGATAAGTTAGCGGCAGCTAAACGTAAGCAAAACCGTTTAATATCTTTTCAACCTGAGGACACTGAATCAGAATCAGATCAAGATGAAAGTGACTCGTCTACTGTAAAGGAAAGAAAATACAGGAGACATAATGAAGAGACACCAACCTACACCGGTGGTCTTTCTGAAGAAGCTCGAAATAGAATGCTAGAACGATTACAAAAGTAAGTGTAGATTAGGGTATTTACAATCTTTGTTATAAGTTCAGTATTAATAATTATTAATCTACAGTGGCAATAAATAATACAGTACTCTTTGCAATGTTTCAGTGCCACTAAAATCCTAATGATTAAATTATGTTTTAATTTATATTTTTAATCATAAGACAAATATTATTAACACACAGTTTCACAAACATGAAAAAATGCTTTATTTATTATTATTTTAATACTTTTCTTTTTTTTACTTAGAAAAACTAAAGAATCTAGAGAAAAGGGTGTACACAATTCTACACAAGAGGAAAAAAAATCTAGATCAAAGGAGGAAGATATAGATCGCCATTACCGTCGGTATGATCGTCGGGATAGGGACAGAAGATATGATGATGACAGAAGAGACAGAGACTTGCAGAGACGAGATAGAGGGTCTGATAGAAGGGATAGAGATAGAAGAGATAGAGATTCTGATAGAGACAGTTCGAGAAGAAGTTATTATGAACCTAGGTTTAAGGATGAGCCTCGCACACCAAGGTATAGGCTTGAGTATTTGAGAAGCTTATGGGTTTTAAACTAAAATTCACAGCACAAATTTCCATAAACTTCCTTATGTCTTAATTCCATGCTAATTCTAACATTTTAATTCTATCTTTTCAGTATTAAAGCATTAAAACCAACTGATAAGACAGCCTGGGATGAAGATGATGATGACCCAAAGGCTGTTAGGAAGTCAAGTTGGGATTATCCAACTCCTTTACCAAGGGAAACTCCAGATCGCTCTACTAGGAGTGATAGAAAGCCTATCAGGGATTATAAAGGAAGACCATATGATGATACACCTAGACCTACACCTCATAAGTAAGCAAAATAATAGTTACTTTAGAAAATATTTGTCAAATTAAAATCAATGAACATATAAATTTAGTATATTTCTTAAATGTTTCTAGTTGCTCACTTCAAATGATTTTAGTTATTTAAAACTAATGGTGTTCTTAATATTGAGAACAAACTACTTTTTTCCACCAATTGTGTATTTGTCAAAACAAACAATGGATATTTCTCTATTCACATGTGGCTTATAATTAAATATTTGCGTCAGTTATTAATAAAAATTGGTAATACTTTTTGCAAAGTAACATCCAAGTAAACATACATTTAATACATATAATATATCAATAGTGTATCTTTAAAATCAAAAAATTAAAATTAAATATTTTAATATGTTAATGAGGATTTTCATAAATATTTCTCTTAATTTCAGATGGGTCAGTTCACGGCGTGGGCAAGATGTAGATGATCCCGATTGGCAGGAAGCTGAAAAGAAATTAGACCGTGCTTGGTACAACATGGGTGAAGGTAATATGGCAATTATTTTTTATATAGTTCAAAATGTATATTAGTTATTACTGATTATTACTTCTTTCTACGCTTTCTTCAAACTTTGCTATTCATAAACATTATATAGAACTCAAATAGCTATTGATTCTTTCTTATCACTTACATAAACAGTAAGTTTGTGTTATTTGTATGTAAAATATACTGTGTATAATATGTTGCATTGTATATACTGCATTTTTAATTGTCTACTTTATAGAGTTAAAAAAAAACAAAATTAAATTCAGGCCATTATAAGACCATATATTGATTAGTAGAGTAATACTTATAACTATGTTAGGAATATTAAAATTTAAATTAGCATAATTATAATAATTTAATTCATAAATCTGCATTGTTTAGAGGCACCAGGTACATGGGCATGTATATGAACCCAGTGTCTCAAACAGCACATTCTGGTTTATTACCTATAACCATCAGGATATTGTTAATACTCGCACGAACTCATCATCTAAACTTACTTTTTTTATTAACAAAAAAAATTCATTAATTTTAAAGGTCTTTATATTATTTTTCATATTATTGTTCTTATTTTTCATTCATCTTACTAGATTGTGTCTAGAACTTAGCCTTGTAATTCACGTGATGATGGAGTACACGTTCGTGAGCTCCCCCAATCCTTTAATTGTACTGACCACATTAGAAAACACTAACATCACATTTCTGTACCTAGGTGAGACTGATGAATCTGATCCCTTTGCGGGAACATCAGCTGAATATATAGCTCGTAAGGAAGAACAAATAGAGAAACGCCGGAATCGAAAAGTGTCAGCTGCAAGGCAGCAAATAGACAAGGACAACGAGCTGTGGGAAAGGAACAGAATGCTTACAAGTGGAGTTGTTCATTCCATTAATGTTAATAATGATCTTGATGAGGTTAGTATGGACATCAAGAGGTATCGGAAATTAAAACAATACAGTTTTATTAAATTAGACTTGGTTTGCTAAGTTATTATTATAGTATTTGTAACAATAGATAGTAAATCAATGGGAATAGACTCTTTCAATAGCTGAGCTCTCACATATGCAGTAAAGAAAATCCGACAGTTTACTGATGAGGACAGCTAAAATTGTGTACATAGTACTTTCATACTTATGTCGTAGGCATTTTACTTGGGTGCTGCTGCAGAGGTTCAATCCATATTTGTCTGCAGAAGCGGGCTGTTCGTGGTATTTGTTGTTTTCTCCGAGAGTCGGTACGGAATAAGTTTAAGGAATTAAATATTATGAATATCTGTCAATATATTCTTGAAGCCTTGTTGTATGTCCAAAAAAATATAAAATTTTAAAACAAATGGTGATTTCACCAGTATAATACGCGAAATAGAATAATTTGAGTGTAGACCAACCAGGCTCCAAAAGATAAACCACTCCTTATATGGAAATTGTATTCGTTTTTACAACAAGCTCCCAAGCGAAATTAGAGAATTATCACTAAATAAATTCAAAGCCCTCTTAAACGAAAATTAATCAACAAAGCTTTTTATAAATTTGAGGATACTTAAATGATCTAATCCTTGGGATTGAATTGCTCCAGTTCAAACAATTTGTATGACAATACTTGGCGATTAAAAAGAGTGGCGGAAAGTTTCTTGCCAGTTCTTCTTACCCGCTCTAGCCCTTGACTTGCGAACTGGTAGTAAATGTAAATTTACGATTAATTTAACTTGACGATTCAAAAGTGTACTTGGTTACCTACTTGAATAAAGATATTTTGAGTTTGAGCCGTGTTGGCCTAGTGGATACATGGTGCGAATCTCATCCCTGAGGTCGGAGGTTCGATCAGCTGTGAACCAATCGACTTTCCTTCTATGTGCACATTTAACATTTGCTCGAACGGTGAAGGAAAACATCGTGAGGAAAACTACTTGCATATTAGATTTACAAATGATCATGAAACAGATACAAAAATCTAAAGCCTGTAGCGCCACTGATTTATTATTTTCCAATAGTAATATAAATTATTTCTTTGAAATAATGCATATACTGAACAAGACATATTCTTACCCAAAATTACAGAAACAAGTATTACAAAATTGTAACATACCATTCCCTTATTTATTTAACAATTTTAATTAATTAAAGACCTTTATCCTGTCAACGTTAACCATTGACACATAGATAGAAACTATACTAAAGGAAACAAAGAAAAACGATTTCTTTTCTTTAACCACTTTTGTAATACAATATTTTACTTAATTTATTTATCAAAATAATCACCGAGTTTGCTTGCATAAAATACAGAAATATTTTTTTTAACATAGTATGAGATGTACATTGTTATAATTTTGACAATTAGACATCTTGCAAAGATATATGACTAATTGTCGGCCAGTATCAATAGAGAGTAGTTACTTGTGACTAAATTTACTTATTTAACATTGAAATGAATGTTTCAGGAAAGTGTGGACCGAGTACATTTATTGGTACACAATATTGTCCCTCCATTCCTGGATGGTCGTATTGTGTTTACGAAGCAGCCGGAACCTGTTATACCTGTAAGATTTTATTTTATTATAATATAAATATTTTGTCAAGTATGCCTTAACTTGTGTAGGAGCAACCAGCCTTTTTGTATTCGGATTTCAACTTTATTCTTGATTTCGAATTAAAAATTTAATTTTACAGTATGTATCAATTTTTATTCAAAACTATTAATGGCAGGCCTGCGTAGGCACAGACAAAAAAACAATTCTTTAAGTTTTAGGATGTTCACTATTTTATTTTATCCTCCATGAATGTTATGGTTGCCTCTGAGCGCCTGGCTCATTAAAACTAGTTTTTTTTTCTTTATATTCCTCATAAAAAATAGTTTCCTTCTAAGTTCATAGATACCATTAATTTGAGTTAATGAGTGTGCCAATTATATACTATTTTAGGTGAAAGACCCGACATCTGATATGGCGATTAACGCGAGGAAAGGTTCTGCTTTAGTAAAAGCCTTTAGAGAACAAAAGGAAAGACGAAAAGCTCAGAAGAAACATTGGAAATTGGAAGGAACTAAAATAGGTATATACAGTACAATTAAATAAAACCCCTTTAACTCATTAAACACTTTTAACTTGACGTTTTAACTGTTTTCAGTGTGGTCAGCTAAAGAAATATTTGCAATATATAGCTGGATTTTTCGAAAATAATATAAGAACACAAAATTAAATTATAAATTTTTAAAACTGTAGATCAGTGTTTCCCAACCTATTTTGTGCCATGCCCCACTTTAGCCAACCTAAAATTCTTACCCCTTACATAACATATATAATTTATGTATTAAATAATTGCATTATTAACTTAAGGAATTTAAATGATAAACAAAATAAATGATTTCTTAACATAAGAAAGAAATCACTAGGAAATTTTTAACAAAACAATATGTACATTTTCCAAACAAAATTAAAAACTGCAATTCAATTTTTTTTAATAAAGATAACAAATACACACAAATCATATTAATAAAGATTTTTCTATATTAATTAAGTGAGATCCTTGCTTAGCTTCAGTCTCAAGTCTCCACGTTGTGTTATATCCAGCTGATTTCGATTGCTCCCCTGTGGGGCGTGGGCCTCACGTTGGCAAACAATGCTATAGATAGATGTTAAAGTATTATTTTTGCATTACTTAAAGGCACAAGGTTCGATTCCCGATTGAAGATGTATTTCAATTGGTAGTTTGTTCTCCATTTTTAGCGGCTTGTAAAAATACAACTGGTCAATACTCTCACATTATAAATATGATCAAATGTTTTAAATATCATTTCAGGTAACATAATGGGTATTCAGAAGGAACAAGAAGAAATTGAAGATGGGCCCACGAAGGAGGCATATAAATACGCCGAACATTTAGACAAAGGTAACAAATTAATTCAATATTTTCTCGTTTTTTTTTAAATATAGATATAAACAAGGACTGTTCTTATATAATATATAACTCACGTCTTACATACAATTAAATTACCAATACATAATGTAAATCATTCTCGACTCCACTTGAATACACAAAATTTTCATCAAAATCTGTCCAGCAGTTAAGGAGTTTATTTACGAACATATGCACAGAAGTTTTATATATATATACCAGCTATTTATTCGCTGTATAGATAAATAACCTAGTTACCGACTGCAGCGCCATCTGCCGGCCTGATTTGTGAATTTAAACCATCCAGGGCGCCACCCAAACTCATACAAAAATATTCATTCAAATCGGTCCAGCCGTTTAAGAGGAGTTCAGTGACATACACAACTACAGTAGAATTACATATATATATAAAGATTAATTGAAATAGCTATAATTATGGAATACTTTATGGTATGTTAAAAACTAAACTTAAATGTATTACAGTATAATTTACTTTGACGTTTGTGATAATATCTACTATTTGAAAATAAACTAAATAAATTATTGTTATATGTTTTCAGAGGGTCAACAACCAGAGTCGAAGTCAGATTTTGTGAGAAAGAAAACGATATCAGAGCAGAGGCGGTTCTTGCCTGTCTTTGCTGTAAGAGAGGAATTGATGCAGGTCATAAGAGAGAATAATGTAATCATTATTGTTGGTAAGTTATTTGAAATTTTGAAATTAAAGTTCAGTATAAAAATTCATATATTTTTAGTTATTGCACAATTAGCCTAAATTTTAGCCATCTTTGGGAAGATGACTTTTTCATACTACATTGGAACAATTAAAATAAAAATGCTTTTTAATTTCCTACTAAAATCAACAATAATTATTAAATATTATGATTTATAAAAAAAATAATAATATTGGTAACAATTTTGGAACTATTAAATTTATATCATTTAAATTTAATTTTGACCATAAACTAAAATTCAAAAACCTACATTTAACTTCTTTAACGAAATTTGGTTTTGATCGGTACATCTCATACATTACGAGTTATTATTAATATCTGTGCATTGTAAACATATAACGTCTTCAACGCCAAAGTGAAGACTATATAGAGCTTTAATGAGCTATTCGTATATTCCAGGTGAGACGGGAAGTGGTAAAACGACACAATTAACCCAATACCTTCACGAGGAAGGGTTCAGTAAGCTTGGCATGATCGGTTGTACGCAGCCGCGTCGTGTAGCCGCCATGTCTGTCGCAAAGAGAGTCGCCGATGAAATGGGCACGAGGCTGGGTAAGATCGATATGTATTTTTATCTTTCAAAGAAACTTATCAATGTATTGAAATTTTATAACATTTGTGTATGACCTATTTAGCTTTCCAAGTGTATAAAAGTTTGTCAAACTAATCATTTCTAGACAATTCCTACTCTGATTTTAATTTCCGTAGAATTCTAACATTTGATTCGTGTTGCTACTAAAAAAAGTTCTCCACCGAAAAAGGGGCAAATTTGACTTATTTGAGGGCAATAAAAAAAATTCTACGTATTTTTTATGTTTTACCTACAAAAAGGTAAATCTAAATATTTACTGACTCAAGTGTCTTAATACAAAAATAAAAAATATTTCAATATCACGAACAATATACGAATTAGCTTTAATTACTTAATGATATTTAAAATGTTCTCTTTACTTGTGTGTTTTTTACTGTTTGTGATGAAAAGGAACGTAACTACCACTCGCTGTTACACCACTTTTAATGTGGAGCACCGCACTTATTAGAATGGAGACATTCACTAAGAAATAAAATGTATATATAGACTCAGATGTTCAGACTCGTATTGAAATTGAAAAATGTGCCCGGCCAAAAGGTTTTGCCATCACTGACATATCAAAAAATTATAGCTGTCGGAATTTTACGGAATTTAAAATCAGAGTATAATAGTCAAATTTTCATAAAAATCTATTCAGTAGATTTTTTAGATATCCACGTATTTATGGAGGTATTTTTTTATTATAAATGTTTAGAAAAATTTCGTATTTTAGTAGAAAAATCCCAATAATCTACACACTTGACACTTCTAGCTACTTCTTAGATCATACTGATGCGATCTGATCCGATCCCGGTGAAACGATAATTTTGTGTTTAACACATGTCTTGACAATTCGGACATCACAAATTTTAATAAATATATATATAAAAATGAATTGCTGTTCCTTTGTCTCGCTTAAGCTCGAAAATGGCTGGACCGATTTGGCTATTGATTATGTTGAAATATTATCAAAGTGGCCAGTACGACCAAACGCCAATTTCATATGTAAGGCCCTAATATATGTATTTCCTACATTAATTAACTCATTAAACCTTCATTAGGTGAGGAAGTAGGCTACGCCATACGTTTCGAAGACTGCACATCGCCCAACACGGTCATTAAGTATATGACAGATGGTATTTTACTCCGCGAGGGTTTACGGGAACCGGATTTGGACAACTACTGTGCGGTCATTATGGACGAGGCCCACGAGAGGTCGCTGTCCACTGATATGCTGTTTGGATTACTTCGGGAGGTAAGTGATAGATAATATTTTTCTAACAGGCTAAATATATTTAGAATTTATTTACATATTTGAATATAAAGGTTTACTTCTGCCAGTGGTTTTATGAGTTCTCCGCCGCTTTTAATCGCCTTATTGTTTTTTTTTTTGTATGGATTTGCAACTATTAAATAAATATAAATCAGTGGCACTACAACCTCTTTAGGTCTTGGCCTCAGATTACTGAATCTGTTTCATGATCATTTTTAAATCTAATAGGCAAGTAGGTGATTAGCCTCCAGTGCCTGACACACGCCGTCGACTTTTTTGGGTCTAAGTCATGTCGGTTTCCTCACGATGTTTTCCTTCACCGTTCGAGCAAATGTTAAAAGCGCACATAGAAAGAAAGTCCATTGATGGACAGCCGGGGATCGAACCTACGACCTCAGGTATGATAGTATTTGCAACTATTACACCATCCCAATGATGTCTAGAAGCAGTTTTTTTGTATACAATTTATTCGAATTTACAGTTTCTTTGAAACTATAAAAAGCATAGACAAGTTTTCTTAATACACGACGTGATTTTTCGTCTTATTTTTTCTTGCGTAATTTGCGTCGACGAGAAGTCTTACTACGCAAAGGAGCAGCTCCGGAGCAGTCCATACAATCTTTACGATATTCGTCAAGTATTTGTATACGCCAATACAATCACTTTAGTTTTTGACAGCCCGAAATAATATCCTATTCGAACGATAATCCTTTTAGTTCTAATTATTTAAGAATGCTTGAATTTTTCATACAAAGTGACTACCCAGACCTCCAATCACTGATTGATGATGACTGATGGATAGATTGTGAGAATTATGACTCCCAAATGTCAAAAACGAATACTTTTTTGAGTTACGGGAGTCAAACATTTTCTGTTCTACGACTAATTTCTATATTTTCTTGTACATTATACCCAAACCAATCCAATTAGATACTATTATGTTTAAAAAATAATATATAATATAACTATATCAATTGTTTTTGGAAACAATGAAACATTTTTAAAAAATAGTTTTTTGAAATAATCCGTGATGCGTAATAGCGCAATCTAGAGCCAAATGCGCAGAACCCCATCATTGCAGTACATATGTATTTTGCCACTAGATGGCAGTGGTTAGATAAATTTGACTTGCATTTTCTGGTACCTGAAATGATGAATGCTTCTATATATTTTTATCCTTATCTTGCTTTCAAGATTAGAAATATTACCTCCATTTTAATATCGTCAAATGCTATGATTGTTTTGTCCTTATCGCTCTCGTGTCACCTTGCAAATATGTAAACGTGACAACTTTACGAATACTTTTGGATAAGACGTGAGGTATTTGTGACTCAGATAGATTGAACCGGACATTTTAATTGTCAGTTACTTTGTCCTATGTCTCTAGTGGATTTTATCAATAGGGAGCGTTCAAGAATTACGTAACGAATTTTGGAGGGGGGGGGTCCTTTTGTCCGATGCGGGGTGGGGATTGAATTACGCGTTAATATTATTTTCGACTTTCCAGAACTTTACACCCACATAATCGTAACTTTTAGGTAGGTATAAAGAGTCACTAGGTCGTCACGAAACGTTTTACAATACATGGGTACAGAAAAACGTTACGGCGCGTTACACTGGGGTTCCGATAATCTCCAAAAATTGCGTGACGTAATACTTGAACGCTCCCATACTCGAATATAATAATGCTGAAGAGTTTGTGTTTGTACGTTAGGAATTACTGCTTCTATTTATGTTAGATAGGCCGTATATCGAACTAGACTATGAGCTATGTAAGATCTTGATATGGTCCAATTAAGACGTGTAACCGCGAGGCACAGCAGCATTATATACAATTTAAACATTTAATAAAACTAGCTGCCCCCGCGAACTTCGTTTCGCCTTAATGCCTAGCCTACCTTTTTAGTACATACATGTAACATTTTGCTATGCTACCCCAGAGACTGTTCGGTTTTCCGGAATGAAAACTTTTGAGGTTTTTCTGTGATTTTTCTCTATATAAACCTCAGAGTTCAAGTTATAAGTTTTTAAGTAACAAATAAAAAATAAGGGTTGATCGTAGAGGGTAGATGAAAATTAAGGGTTGTATGTATTTTGAATGCTGTATCATAAAAAATGTTTTGGGGTGGATTATCACTTAGGGGTTTGAAAGAAAGATAGTAGCCGATTCTCAGACTTACTGAATATGCATAAAAAAATTCATAAGAATCGGTCGAGCCGTTTCGGAGGAGTATGGGAACGAACATTGTTAAACGAGAATTTTAATTTTAATATATCAATGTCGTCGTGACCTTTGTTGTAGGTATACCTGTTCAAATATACCTATGAGTCATAATAAACATGTTATAACAGATAAGGTTAAACAAGGTTAATCAAATAAAACATTATGTTTAACTATTTTATTTATAAAATGCTTCAATATAAATAGCTCATCAAACAATCGAGTACAAAACTCAATAACAGCCGTTCTCATACATTATTACGTAGAAATACTTAACAATACTCTTACCGAATACTAGACAATAAGCGACTTCATGTATTGAAAAATTTTTAAGCTGTAAGCCGCTTCTTTCAGTTCGGATATAATCATTTTCACAGATAAACCACAGTCTTTAACATGATAATATAATTTAAATCCTACTAACATTTCAAGTGTCTTAGATAATCTACAATATCATAATCGTTAAGTTTACATGCCTAATGTGCCGTGAACACGACTAATTTCAGGAATGTTTAGCTGTTAAAATTGGGTATAAACCCATGTTGTTATAACAATACTTGAGCAAAATAATACAACTTAAATTTAGATCTGAATAAACTGATACATCCACATTTGGACTTCATTCAAGCAACATTACGCGAGAGATTCCGGTAAAAGTTGTACTTATGTTGCAACCCTCGAACCGTCAATTGTCATGTTTGAATATAGAACGTGAAATTTAAACAAAGTCTATTTCCCCGGCAGAGGGTTGCCAGAAGCAAGCGTAACAAGTGCCGGCATTGCCGGCCTGTGATGATCAGACGGACTTTGCTTTTGGACGCGCGTTGTTCTGGCTGACTAGCATCACGCCCATATTCATTCCGATGTTACCCCATTTTAGTGACTCGCTAACCTGTAACAAGAGAAAGGGTAAAATTATAATTTAAATCGACTTTTAATGTGTGATAGTACTTAGATACCACAGACTACAAATACTATAAAACATAATGCTGGTGCTCCACTCCACTTCAATAGTTATCTGTGGATTCAAAAACAAAATTCTCGCCTCAAGATTATTTTCAATCTACTATTATGTTACGAAGTATCTTTGTTCTGGTCCCCATATAACCCTTTCAAAAGACCACGCACTGCCTTCCGATAGACCCGTGAGTCGTACACCGAGATACATATTAAACAATTTTACAGTTGATTGTGTTATGTTTAATATAAGCGCCATTTTAAACGATTGAAGCGATATTAAATAAGCATGTCATCTTTGAATCACCAACTCACCCAATTAACCTAAATTATTTGAATTAATTGACTTTTGTCGTTGATGTCACGGTTGAACACTTTAATGACATTTCATATTAGTGTTGCTAGTTGAACTTTATATAAATAAATCGCTTATCAGGTGTAATCTAGCGTAATAAAACTTTAAGTAGTTTTAGTATAAGTGTGTATACATTTTTCATATAATTTTTGTATTATGTTATCTGCGTATATTCCTGACTGTATGTAGTTTTAATATTATTCCTGCAATCGTAAATATTAGATGGATTTTAGTAAATATAAGCCTCAAATCCTCAAGTAAGTAATAAAACGGCTTTTATTTATAATAAACTAGCTGACCCGGCAAACATTGTTTTGCCATGTATATTATTTCTAGGAAACATTTTTTTAATTCAATATAATAATAAATAAATAATAATAAAAATAGGGGTTGATCGTAGAGAGGTGACAATTAAGGATTGTACATATATATTTTTGTATGCTGTATCATAAAAAAAATAAAAACAAAAAGTTTGGTCTTACAAAAAATTAGGGGTGGGACCACACTTTACATTTAGGGGGATGAAAAGGGAAAGTAAATGTTGTCCGATTCTCAGACTTACTGATTATGCATAAATAATTTCATAAGAATCGATCTAGCCGTTTCGGAGGAGTATGGGAACGAACATTGTGACACGAGAATGTTATATATTAGATAATGCCAAAAACTGCTGGTTTAATTTAAAAACTTATTACGCTTTAGACATCCTATAGATGGTAACAGCTATTTTCTTAAGCTTGTCTAAATATAGCCACAACTTCTGTATACGGAAACATTTTTCTATATTTGTAAACTGCCCGAGCCGTGTTATTCTATAATTGTCTGAATGTGAAAACGTTTGAGTCACCTTAAGATTGAAAAGCAGAAACGCTCAGTAAAATATAGGAACATGCGTATAAAAATATGTTTAAAATTATATAAAATTTTCACTGAATTATCTATACAAAAAAGTCAAGGCCAAAAATTATACAAAAAGAATTTTCCAGTCACATACTCAAAGAAATTCTGAACTGAAATTGACAAAAACGTCCTCCAATATTGCGTCTTTTGTTTACAGTCTCTAAACGATACTCCTATGCAGTCTAAGTAGCGTAAACTTTCTTACCGCCAATTTTTAACTATACTTAATTAATGCGAAAAAAAATCTCTTTCAAATAAACACACACATCTGCTAAAATGATTTAAGAAGAAATTGCAACACACAAGATAGAACATAATATGGGCACATTGAATTCCGGTAAATTGAATTTTGATAAGAAAATCCCTCACCGATAAAATGTCGCCAGCTGTTTGTCCAAAGCGCCTCAACGATTACCATCAAAATATGATAATCATAGGTGTTTTCGACGTGGTTAAGCTGATCTGTAACAGAATTACTACTTTGTGCGATCTTTAAATTATCCCCAAAGTCCCATGCACGATCGCCGATGCGCCAGTCTTCAATGTTACCGATGAAAAGAAGTCTAAGAAACAAGCTTCAGTAAGCAAATAAATGGATGACTATGATATGACCTTTGAAACTGTCTTTACAAATTGCAAAATACCTAATCAGTCTTTAAACAAAACTAATGTATTAGCAACAATGATATTCGTAAAATAAAACGTTTCACTAATTATTTACTTTCCACCTAATTTGAAGCGAATAAATTCACTGATTTGATACAGATAAGGTTTTCCTTATGTTGTGGCTGGTGAGTTTTTGTAGGTATGATATAATGACCGTGGTATATAAAAATTGTAACGACAGCTTATATGAACGATATTCATGCAATTTAAATTAAAAAGTTCTCGAACAATACAGAAAGCAAAATAGAATATGACGAATGTTTCAATTATACACATTATTGGCGCGTAAACTGAAACAGTACCGCATGAAATTTGTATTTACCTGTCGCATTCGAGCTTCTTGCGGCGTTTCACCATATCGGCACCAGTGGACGAAGTGCAGTGTGTTATGCCAATTCCTCTCGAACCTGGACTTGGTAGCCATGTCAAGCTGCAATCAGTAGAAGCTCCTTAGTAGCTTGTCCACTGTTTTCCAAATAGAAAGCCCGTTGAGGCTATCTGAAAAGAGAGGGTTTCCAATTCTGACGTCTGTCCTAGACAGGAAGAATCTCGAAGTAAGAGGAACCTTTGAACGGTTGACAATTCGAATAGGGACTGATGTGATACAATGTAAAGAGCTAATAAACGCGAAATTTGTTGAGCATCTGTTGTGAAATTGGGACACGATTTGCATTTATATCGAGGTCGCAAAACTAAAGCCGTACACACGTATCTATTGTCTTTAGTGTTTGTTTTCGCGTATAATCGCTACATTATGTAATTTGTAGTAATTTTATCTACGTAGTTAAGTTGTCAATCAACGCGATTTCTAAACACATAATCGTGATTTAATTACTCTATTTCCTTAATGGCAAATGACCGATTGATCGGATTATTGGTAGGGGGGGGATAGAATTGGAAACGACCGCGGGGTAATTACCTTGGCTCTTATGTCCTTCTCACTGTTGGGGGTCTCCTGTTTGTCATCAACATTGTTGATTCTTATCACGGAGTCCTTCTTCCAGAAGTTACTCAGAGTAGTCTTGATAATACGTTTCCTTACGCCCTTCTGTTGGACGGTGTACACCTCTATCTGTTCCGGGTTCTTTGTTTTTTCTATTAACAAAAATGTTACACTTATTAACTTCGAAATTTAAAATGACACGACACGACAAGGCCGACTGCGATTATGCTAATTAAATGCAGTACAAAACAAGTTATGAATAAACGAGTTAAGTTACCACGGTTTTCTAAAGTAAAACCCCATCAAGAACTGGTATCACCGGATATAAATACACAATTCATGCCTTGATCTCATTAGTGGGCGATCACATTGACGCGTACTACAATTATTTACAAACGTCCGAGGACTGCGTTATCGGCGCGCGACCGCTACGATACGATGCCAACTTGTACCATAACGTCTCGATGTTATCTGTCTTAATAATTCAAGGTATTCGCGGCTCACGTACCTTTACCCTTCTTCCACATGGCAATGGCGTACATATGGTAGTCAGCGGAGACCACAGAATCTGGCGGCAGAGGGTCTTCCGCTCGTACTTCCAACACGAATCCCGACTCGAGAACCGCACACAATATATTCTGCTCTTCATGTTTGAACCACTTGGTTTCCCTTAGCTTATGGATAGCAACGGACGAACCAAACTTCTGTTTCTTCGGTGCAAATAACGCTTGAGCCTGGCTCCCGAAACGAGATAGCAGCCCCTTGACAGTGGGCGGCGGGGCTAAACTCTTTTCGGGCGGCTTGATTTGCTGGAAACTCCGGCAGGTTACGAACCTGGCTTCCATTGAACCCACTCTTAGGAATGCGAGAAGATTTCACACCGCTGTTTAGACTTAGTAGTCTGGCCGCGCTCAGTTTACTCTCACTTATGAGAAATGTATACGACACTTTCACAATTCGATCCGCGTGGTATCGTAAACACACGAGAACAGAACAATACGGCTGCGTTGTAACGAAAGACGCGGCGCGCGTGCCGCGATACGTTATATACGACAGAGGGGAGAGAGAGGCGCCGTGGAGGGCAAGGGAGCCCCTCCGGCGAGCTGCGGCCTCGTTAGGGCTGCTCACAGGTCGATGAACGTTAAATGTCGATAAAACTTGTATTAGTGCGTCATTGCAGAATCGATGTGATTGCATTTAACTTGTTCAACAAATTCAATTTTTAAACTTTGCATTTGATTTACATTTATTTTTGAAACAAACAAAATTCAAAATCATTTATTCATATAGGTAACACAATGTACACTGATGAACGTCAAAAAAAAATGAAATGCTTCAAATTTTACATTTACTTCTTATTAAATCGCGTGAAACTCTAGTCTTTAATTAGCAGCTACTATGTAGGGTTCCGGGGTCATTGGGGTGCTTTAAATAATAGAGGATTTTATTTTTACCCTATACCTAATTAACAACTCGCGTACAACAATATAAAATATTCGAAGTAATTAAATGTTAATTGCTATGAAACTAATGAATGCAATGTAACTGTTGAAGAGAGTGCCTACGTCTGGCTATACTCTCGGGGCGAACTCCGACGATTTAGATAATCGCCACGCTTATAAAACTGACAACTCAGTCTGAGTGAGCAAAATGTACAGCCTTGGCTCGTACATACTACAACATAGTTCATACTTTTTTGAGGCTATCGAACCTAAAATCACAACTGTATTGCAAAACGATTGCTCATATTTATCGATACATATTCGCACCACTGCAATGCACTAGGTGACCTCCGCAGTTACCCTCCCCGGAGCTGCCCCCCGCGGCCCCGCATTCCGGCGCCGGGCGCACCGGCACAAAAACCGTAACTTATAATTAATCTTACAAGTTACGTGACCACTATTGATATTTTTTTCAATGACATTAGTATCGTAGAGGGGAATAGCAGACAGTTTGCACAGTGAAAGTTGTATAGGTTTGGTCCAGAAATAGAAATGTTGTGATATACCCTTCTATATGATCTTTATCCCTTCATAGTAAAGTCCTTTCTTTCTGGCATGGTGGGATTACGCTGTGATGAAAAGAGACAGACGAAGGCTTTATGTAGTGTAATACGTCTTAAGCTTTGAATGAGACCTCACTCTACGTCGTGTTACAAACTGCGTGGCGAACTGTTCAGTTTGTCTGCAATTTTGTATACATAACAACAAACGATCCTTACTCGAAAATTTAAAAATACATATAAGCTATATATATTTATATTTTAATATTTTATTTATTTGAGTTAATTAAAAGAAAAAGCTTTATTTGATAGGATTTTGGTGACATATAATCGATAAACATGCCTGAATCAGGTATACAATAAGGACGAAACGACAGATTTTTTAGAGAAGATATAATAATAACTATTACATTATCGGACGTCGAGGCAGAATACGAAATTCCACCAGTACCACGACGTCTGTTCGATTTTTAAGGCAGTTTGCCGCGCACCACCACTATGTGGAACCAGCTGCCCATTGAGGTATTTCCGAACCAATTCGACTTAGGGTCCTTCAAGAAAGGGCATACCAATTCTTAGGTCATGTGAGTGTCTATGGGCGGCGATATCGTTTAACATCGGGTGAGCCTCCTGCCCGTTTGTTCCCTGTTATATAAATAACGCTTGAACGCCTCCAGAAATAAATAGAATTACCTTAATTTACTTTCAGTTGAGGCTAATAATATTGTATAATTTTATTACACAAAATTCACGATAATAGGTTAAGTAGGTGATAATGAAAATTACTTGATAATAAATTAAAATATTCTTGTCATTTATGGATTTCTGAACTTTTAATTAGGCTGTATTTGTTGCAAATTTCAAATGTTATTAATACAACCTACAACTACCATGTAAATCCGACAAGTTTTATTAAAATACTGAATTTACACGCTTTTAAGCTACCTGTAGGTATGTATTTGTATGCAAACTCTTCGGACGTCGATTTGACCTACTAAGGACAGATGTTAATTAAACTTGCGCAACTGTCAAAGATCGATGCAATGCAATAATCCGAACAAAAAATGAAAAAAAAAAAACTAAAAATAAATAATAGTTTTATTAAAATATCGCAAACTAAAATGAATATTTTAGTATGGTAAATGAACAAAAATACTGCTATAATTGTGAAAACGCGTGGGTTGCTCGATAGACGAAAAATATGGCACAGTTTAAAAAAAAAAAAACCCCCCCTGTTTTTTTTTTTTTTTAAAATTTTTTTAATTAAAACGCATTTAATTGTCACAATATTACGATCGTTTTTTTTATTGATTAATACGACAGTTCACTTCACAGCTTGGTTGCCTGAAAAGAAAATAAATGTTATAATTTCACGTTCCCAATACTTTATCGGCTCTTGAAATCCAAATTAAAATTCTGAAATTATGAATTTTTAATTATATACGTATTTTGACTATTGACTTATTCGGAGGATACAGCTGACATTTGAAGTAATCGAATCGAGCTGCCAAAAGTCGTCAAAGGTTTTTTTTTTAAATATTTCTAGAAACCATGAATAGTACACACGTTTAAAAGAATCATATTACAGGAAAAAAGCGATTAATACGTATACAAATATTTTGAATTTAAAGTTATAACTAACTCGACGCTTGCTTTTAACAAGTAAGGTTATTATGTCAATGAAAATTAGTGAAACAAAATATTTTTTTCCTACAATAAAGTTCACAAAATTCGCGACTTTACATGAATTACAATCTATACAATAATTATGGGTAATAAGTAATATTATGTTGACTTAATTTTCAGAATACTAGTGAATAGCTTAAACTAATAATGTTTATTAACAGTCTTAGTGTCCTATAATGTTTTGACACTATGTTCGCACTTGCACTTATGTTTAGTTCTCTTTAAGCGTCTTATTCCTGTTGTATCAAGAAGTTGGATTGCCTCAGCATTCACAAGGCTATGTAGTCGGTTTAAGTGAGCTAAGGCAAACCGTTCCGCCGTATTAAGGACTGTAAAAAATTAAACGCATTTTAAGAAAGAAAGAAAAACCTTTATTATACACAATATACGGAATGTTTAGATTAAATCAAGTGCATTTGAATCTGTATGTTATACGATATTTTTATTTACAACGATGAGAAAATGCTTACTACGTCGTTGACTTTTTCCTAGGATTTTTTCCGATATTTCTAGAAACCGGTAATGCTTTAACGGAAGTATAGCTGACCTCTAGAGCCTTCGGTGTATGAAAATAGTCGATATATCAACGTAACGTTGCGCAAGAAAGTGTTTATCATAAAAGTAACGCGTCATCATGCACACAAATCTACGGAATAGATAAGAGTAATATAATATAAGTCATATCATCTTTATGTACATATATAAATCTACTGTACAATCTAATGTATACAAATCTCGTCCAGGTGTTAGTCTTTTCAGCCATTTCCATGATTTCATCGGCCCACCTTTTAAATTGCTCCATTTAACTGCCTCTATGTCTGTCCAGCCCATTTCCATTTTAGTTGTTGTGTTTTATATGTAACGTCAGACAACCCTGTTTTATCTTTTAATTAATAATTATACAATTATTAATTACGTTTCGCGTTCTGTGTCTGACTTAATTTTTGAATCCAAGACATTCCGGTTTATTCACGAAGTACCTTCTTCGTACGTCCGTTAATTGCGTAGCGAGAAAGAAGCACGTCGGGGTTTGAACGTATCACTCTTTTGAACTCGGGGTTGAGGTTTTTAAGTTCTTTAAGTTTCTGGAAGGTTTGCTTCTAGTTCACGAGTTTAGTTAATAGCAATCGCAAACAATTGATGTCGAAAATAATTGGAATCGTGCATTGACAAATCGTCAATTTAATTGAACGTGACTTTGTCAGTAATATCATTATCGTATACTAAAAATATTTTTGTGCGTGACTGTACTTATCATTAATATGAGAATATATCGCTTCCTGGTTTTTTGCCTTAAGTATTGTTTTTAACTAAACGATTCATAATTTATGAAAAATGTATTTTTGTTGGCCTAACCTGTTATTCCTATGTTTTCCGCTATATACCAGACGTATGATAAACTAACACTGTAAATAAACTTAAAAGTAACCAATGAAATATAAATTAAAAGTTATTATAAGAAATTAATTTAAAAGTAATTACGTCTAACATATTCACTTAGCTTCAATTTGAATGAATTGAAAGAAGTAATATTTTTTAAATTTGTAGGTAATTTATTATACAGCTGTGCGCCTACGTAGGTAAACTTTTATTTGCCGTAGTTCGTACGTATTTTAGGTAATGCAAGATAACTGTTTCGACGCATACTTCTATGAGTCACTCGTTGCGGTTTGGAGAATGTAAGGCTGGTGTGGAGAGAACTATTTATATTTTTTGACAAGAATACATGTATTATAAATATAATGTTGTTTTAAATTCATTAAGTTTGTGTCTCAATAATTGTCTTGTTGATGTGTCTTAATAGTCGTAATAAAAAACACTACCACAGATTATAAAATAAATAAAAGCCTTTAGTTTCCAATTTCGATAAGTAATAAATATTTATTTTTATAAGGTTTTTCATACAATATATAATAGGTTACAATTTTACTAGGAACTCTTTTTACTTACGTCTCCATCAACCCATTATTGTATGCGTTGATTTGCGAGTATATTCAGTGCATTTACACGGAGGCGCGGCGTGTCATATATTAGTGAAAAATTGATATAGTGAAACCTTCTTTTGTTTTGGTTACAGGTGGTATTTAAAACATTTAACAATCCAATATTAAAACAATATAAACTCGTTAAACTGTATATCATGAAAATGTCACGAGA